GATCAGATCGTGGTGGTGAATACTTAAACCAGGAGTTTAGTGATCATCTTAAAGATTATGGGATTATCTCACAATTGACTCCTCCTAATACACTGTAACATAATGGTGTGTCTGAAAGGGGAAATCGTACTTTACTTGATATGGTACGATCAATGATGGAGTCATGTTACTATTCCCATATCCTTTTGGGGGCATGTGGTGTTGTCTACTGCATATATACTCAATATAGTTCCAACCAAAGAGGTTTCATACAAGCTATGAAATGGAAGAGTTCCAAATTTGTCTTACTTGAAGGTGTGGGTTGTGAAGCTTACGTACGATGTGAGACTTCCAACGAAATTAGAACCCAAATCTAATAAGTGTATATTCATGGGATACCCTAAGGAAACAAGAGGTTATTACTTCTATCTCCCTACCGATAACAAAGTGTATGTTGCTCGACATGCTGAATTTTTGGAAAAGAAGTTTCTTTCAAATGAAGCTAGTGAGAGGCAGATTGATCTTGAATAAATTAAGAACCACTAGATATATCACAAGAGGTTGACACTAGCAATCAACTAGAGGTTGATGAACCTGAGCAAGTAGTTACTTGGGTACCTGATGAAACATAAAGCATTCACAAATCTAGTAGAGTTCCTAATGAACCCGAGAGATAAAGATTTCCCGTTTCTTCTGATGAAGTATTATTAGTGGATCAAACCCACTAGCTACACGGATGTTGCATCATATCCTAAATCTGATAAATGGCTTGAAGCCATGAACGTAGAGATGCAATCCATGTACGAAAATCAAGTATGGGACTTGGATGTTCTTCCTTCCAACAACAAGGCTGTTGGAAGCAAATAGATCTTCAAAATACAGACCGACATGGATGGTAATGTACATATTTTCAAAGCACGGCTAGTAGCGAAAGGTTTGACACAAACTCATGGTATTGACTACGAGGAAACATTCTCTCTGGTGGCCATGCTTAAATCTATTAGAATATTGATTGCCATAACAACATATTATGACTATGATATATGGCAAATGGATGTCAAAACAGCTTTCCTCAATGGACACTTAAGTAAAAATGTCTACATAACACAGCCTGAAGGTTTTGTTAATACTAAGTATCTAATAAAGTACGCAAGCTTAAAAGATCCATTTATGGATTAAAACAAGCATCTCGAAGCTGGAACCTTCGTTTTGATGAGAAAATCAAAGAATTTGATTTTATTAAAAATGAAGATGAGTTGTGTGTTTACAAGAAAGTTAATAGGTACGCAGTAGCATTTTGGTCTTGTATGTATGACATACTTGTCATTGGAAATGATATCCCAACTTTACAAGGCGTAAAGTCTTGGCTTGAGAAATGTTTTTCAATGAAAGACTTTGGAGAAGCTGCTTACATCTTAGGGATAAAGATCTATAGATATAGATCTAAGCGGCTTATTGGTTGAGCCAAAGTGCATATATAGATAAAGTCTTGAAAAGATTCAAGATGCAAGACTCCAAATGTGGTTTCTTGCCCATGGCACAGTTTTGAGCAAGTCTCAATGCCCTGTCACAAAATCTGATATAGATCACATGAATGGAGTTCCATATGCTTATGCAATTAGATCCATCATATACGTCATGTTGTGCACTAGGTCCGATGTCTCGTATGCTTTGAGCATGACGAGTAGGTACCAGCAAAATCTAGGTGAAGGACATTGGATGGCAGTCAAGAGCATTCTGAAGTACTTATGAAGAACTAAAGATGTGTTTTGATCTATGGAGGATTGGAAGAAGATCTTGGTGTAAAGTGTTACATGGATACTAGTTTCCAAACTGACCGACATGATTCTCAATCACAATCCGGCTATGTCTTCTATGAACGGTGGAGCGATAACTTGGAAAAGTTCCAAGCAGAAGGTTGTTGCACAATTTACTACAGAAGCTGAATACATTGTTGCCTTGGAAGCAGCACAAAAAGCTGTTTGGATGAAGAAGTTCATTGTTGATCTAAGAGTGGTTCCAAGCATTGAGGACCCTATAAAGATCTTTTGTGATAATGCAGGTGCCATTGCACAAGCAAAGAACCTATATTACATCACAACACCAAGCATACCCTCAGGTGATTCCATTACATTCGTGAAATAGTAGAACGAGGAGATGTGTGTATTCTCAAAGTTCACATAGATCATAATTGGGCAGATCCATTCATGAAGCCTTTACATCAGTCTAAGCATGATAGACATGCTAGATCTATTGGGCTTGGCTTGCAAGTGATTAGATATAAGATTGTATTTAGTACTTGGATGTTTTGGAACGTGTAAGCAACACTTGATTATTTTAATATGATACATGGAGACATAGTTATGATTAACTAACAATTGTTGTGTTCTATATTAGCATGTTTAAAATCCATTTATTCATGACAATCCATAGTCGGTCATAATTGTGGGAATAATTATGTACTAAGACTAATGGGAATGGTTGGTTGACCTTCATAGATGATGAAAGTAGGCAATGTTTGCAACCAAAATTCGTATGTGTTTATTAGAAAACAAAAATTGGATAAGACCTGCTTTTGAGATCACTTCATGGATCGATGTCATAAGTGAATCTTGAGAAACGAGATAATTATCCCTAGGTCTAAGATACATATTGGTTTTTCGTGTGAGGAATGTCATATCTTAATTTGGTCAAGCGTTGATTTAACAGGCAGTTACAAAGGCCAATATTAGACATGATAAGATACATATTGAAAGCAAATGTAGTCAAGATGGAATTTGTTCCTTTCATTTGATGGGAGAGTGACATCTTTGGGGGCCTCGATGATTCTTAAGTGATGAAAATGCATGACCATGCTCAAACTATGTTAACTTGTTCAACAGTGGTTGCTTTATCATCTTGAATCTCGATCGTGTAACATAATAGTTAAACACCATATGAGAATGATTTGATCCATGTCTCATGTTTCAACGGGATGTCGGTAACAAGGGGCTAATAGTATTATAATCTGTAACATTGATAAGAAGCTCGTGAGTTTAGAGATCATTTCACATAAGGGTAGTTTTGTCGTATCTCATTAGGGATAGTGGCATGTTGCTAGACATTTACTACTGTCTGTATTATGATGTGTTGTATCATGTGCAAATGGGAGATCATTTGATATATATGCCAATGACACTAAACTTGACAATACGACTAATGATACACGATCCCAAAGGGTCACACACATACAAACAAATTAATCTCAATCATACGATCGAATATGATTCAATTATTTTCAATCCAAACAGTTGTCATGTAAATTATTATTTAACCGAAACAATAATTTCTGATAATAATAAAATATATGTTATATATTTTTTATTAGTGCTTTAGTCTAATATGTATCTGATTTATATTATTATTTCTATTGTTTTAAAAGTACACTTAATTTGTTATGTGTGACATTAATTCCCGTGAAGAGGAGAGAGAAAAGAGATGAGAGGAGAAAGATTTGATACGGACGTTTTTTTTTTGTTAAAATTACCCCAAAATTGTAAAATCATTAATTTAAAAGTCGTTTACAAAATGCTTACAAGGTATGAACTTATCGGAAAAATCATCACTCTTACTTACCTTATAGGGTATCATTCCTTACCATCAAAATGGATTAATAGTAAGTGTTTATAACCTAGTAAGCATTTACCGGGTAAGAGTCATCACCCTCACTTACTGGGTAATACTCTCGGTTCTTATTATGTTCATTCGGTAAGGTAATTGAACTGTAAGTACTTACCAAGGTAAGTCTTAAGTAAACAGCCACTTAGCCTTGATTTAGATTAGTTTGTGGTTGAGATTGGATCTCACAAGGTACTCAATTCTCTTTCGAATGACCCTATATATATATATATATATATATATGTGTGTGTGTGTGTGTGTATATATATATATACGTATGTGTGTGTATATGTTTCGAATAACAAAATAATTGTAAGAGACTAGAGGTGGAACGTAGGTCTGCCCAGTTACTAAAAACCTGACCAATTACAATTTTTTGAAGCTGAACCATACCTTTTTTTTTTCTTTTTTTGAACATTTTTCTCTTTTGCTTGAATATAAATAGGTATTTGAGTTTGGTATGCAGACATGAAGCATGCGAGTGAAGTAAGCTAGTGAAAGAATCATGGAATGTTTGTCTTTCAAATTTTTAATTTAACTATTGATAAATTTGTCTCCTCTCTTTGACAATTTTTGTTTCATCTATTTTGGTGAGACAACAAAAAAAATACAGTCTTGTATCAGTCAATTCTATCTCATCCAGTCTAATTATCACACCACATGTGGGATAACAAGTTTTATTCTATCATGTATTATACTGTCTCAACAAACCCTAAACACCTATAAGAGGTTGTTTACCCAAATGCTTACCCAATAAGTGTTTATCTATATGAGCCAACACTATAATTTACTTTGATGCGTAAGATTTTAGTACATCAAAACGTATCGAATGCAACAATTTACCAGGTAAGCACTTACTTGGGTAAGAGTCCTCATCTTCACTTACTGGGTAAGACTCTCCATTCTTCTCATTGCTCTTACCCAGTAAGATTCTTGGCCCTTATCATGTTCATCCGATGAGAAAATTTATGCAGTAAACACTTACCAAGTAAGCGTTTAGTAAACGGCCCTAACTCATCTTAATACCTTTAACCTTTGTCATGGTATCTTTTAAGAGTTATGACACACCAAGCCCATAAAGGTAAGTCTAGCCCCAGTTAATTTAAATGGCTTTCTTTCATTCCCACCATTTTTCCATTCTCCATTACCATTTTCTGAGTACCCATTTCCATCATAACCCCCCACCCCCCAGAAAAACACACACACACGCACAAAATGTAGCTACAAAACACCATGCTAGTTTTCATGGGAGGAGAATGAGAATAAGGAATGGTTCTTACTATCATTGAATTTACAACATAAATACAATTCTGTGCAACAAAAATGAACTCACATGTTACTGTTAAAAATGTTCCAAATATAGATGAATGAGTTCTTTAGCTAAATCACCTTCCGACAAGTTCTGACGAGTTTCTGGGCATTCTTGTACATGAAAGAGACGTTCTTCTGTTAAGTAGAGGCATTCCCAAAATCCTGTCAGAAGGCTGTGGATTTTAAAATAACTGTCAGAAGGTCAATTAACCAAAGAAACACAAACACAATGATCATGAATTCTTTTAGACCTTGAAACCATAGTCATGTAGAGTCTTACCAAATCTTTCACCATTCTGCTCAAGCTTTGGGCACCAAACAAGCGACAAGTTACCAAGAAGGTAGTACTCTTCCGTTATTCTGGTTTGCGTTTGGATTTGAAGTATTGGCCTCAATATCGTAGGAATCCAGATCCTCATCGGTTATATCATAAAAAAAGTCAACAGAGTCAATGCTCGGGTTCGACTTCTCCACTACCCTCTTCTTTGAACGGGCAGTGCTTGCAATGAAATCATCTTCATCTCTTGAATCCTCATATGGAGTGTTAACGGTGCCTCTTCTTCTCTTTACAGAATCAGCACTGTTGCCACTGCTGCTGTTTTTATCTATCTTGTAGTGTTCATTTATGGTGGCCTCGATGGTTTGCAAAACTCTATCCCCGTACTTGCTTACTTTCCCCCTGCGTTTGTCATTTGCATTTGCGTTACATGGTAAACAAATATTCAGTAAATTAAAACTGTAGGGGCAGCTTCGTTTGCGAACAGTAAATATTTTGAAAACTGTGGGAACCAACTATTCATGAACTATACTGATGGTCTGACGCATGATGAATATTGCATGATAGTCATGACGAATAATATTGATGAATAGTTGGTTCTCACGATTCTCAAAATATTTACGGTTCCTAAATGAACTTTCCCCTGAAACTGTATACTTTTACTTTTAAGGAACTTACTTGCCAATGCCATTAACCTCAAGAAGCTCTTCTTTAGTTCTGGGGATCCTTTTGCTAACATGCTGCAGGGTTGCATTCCTAAATCAAAAAAATTGACTATGAAGTCGGTTTCTTAGTCATCATCCAACTCGCTTGTACTAAATCATACTCCTGTCAAGCGAAAATCCCTAAAATTTTCCTTTTTATTTGTCAATTTTCGAAGAATTACCTCATGTGTTAAATCCCCACTTACAGATGGTCAATTTTCAAAGAATTAAGTTGCAGCCCACCCCACCGCTTCAATTAGCACATAAGCAGAACTAATTGTGTTTATACAGTTAATTGAGATTGATAAATATTGAGCTTTGTATTGTTAGCCCAGGTTCCATCTTTTGTAGCCCAATTACATTGAGCCAATTTAAAGCAAAGATAGTTACAAGTCAAATGTGAATCTGAGTGACTTTGTGATTATAGTTCTAACTTGAATGAATATCAAAAGTGGGGTTTTGGTGATTAAAACTTTTGGTATTGTTATGCAATCTAAACATAATTATAATTTACAAATTAATATAAACCACCTAATTTGTCAGCTTAAGAATCAGCTTAATCCCCACTTAGGTGATTAAATGATAGAAGATCACTCAGCTTAGCTTCACTTGACACCTTCTAGAACACTGGTCCAATGTCCATTATTAATACTTATTGATGCCATGAGTTTTGATCCAAAATTTTCAAAAAGTGTCTGACCAAACATTGCGATTTTCATGGAAGGGATATAGCAACACAGATCATATAAGAACAAAAATAAACATAAAAACTTGCTGTCTATTTGAGATTTTAGGTATCTCAAACCTTTTTTTGGGGCACATGGACATGGCATCCTTTTAACATGAGAACTTACCCGAATATGTGGTATGCATTGACGCCATCCGCTGCTTCCTTAAGAAGAAGGGTTCGAAGCATTCGCAATGCAATGAATAACTTGGCTGAAAGCTCCTGTATTAATTATAACAGATAAAAGTAATTATAGTACCTTTCCTTGTAATTATTTAACAATTATGTAGGAAACGAGGAAAACTTTAGAGCAAAATCAACATACTAAGTCTACTTCTGATTGAGGTTGAGCAGGAGCATCTACTGGCACAGGACTTTGCTTTGATGATGTTAACGAGCCTCTTGCTGGAGTTGCATCATTTCTGTAAGACTTGGGTGTTTTACTAGCAGAAGGGAATCTACAAGGTAATCAAATGACAAACATGAGCAATGGTTGCAATGTTAACTGATTTCTTGTTCATGTTTATGATAATGTTAGCCTTTCCAAACGTGAAATCAATAAATAATATATCATGGTATACACTTCTTGAAAGATGCATGAACAGATACCTCAGATTCTCTTAAAAATGCAAACAGGATTCATTTTTCATGTGTAAGAGCCAAGCAGGATCTTCTTGTTCACCATCCTCCTAACATCTTATGGTTTCAGAGAAATAGGAAATCTAAAATGGTATTAGAACACTTCCACAAAGATTTCATTTTAGTAGCCACTTTATAAAACCAGATCTCTCCATATATCATATATTACTAAGATTCCCTGTCTCGTAATATATGATATGGTGATGCATTAATATTCTAAAGCTGTCTTGTCTTTTGCAAGGTCCTGCTTTAAATTGTAACGAAAAGCTGTCTTGTCTTTAGTAAGTGGAAGTGGAAGTTCTACATTTGGTTCTCTTGGCCCTTGTATCTCTTAGCCTTCCAATTTATTGTTCGTTAGTTCTCTTGAGACCAAATGGAGAACTGACAGTTGCAATCCATCTAAATTATAGAGTTTTGCTTGATAGTTTTACAGATAAAAAATTAAGGATTCATAAGTGCCCTACACCTAAGATAAAAACAGATGGATGCTCCACAAATCCAGTCACATTTTCATAGTTGAACTGAAATACAAGCTGGCATAAAAGAAGTCCACAATTACTGGCATGATTTCAAATTTATTTCTTTATTCTCAAATATGACCACTTTATCATATTCATGTTCAAAGAAGACCAAAAGCTAATATAAAGCACCATTTAAAGAGGAAGATATAAAAACACTCCAAGAATAATGTCAGGAGTGTGAAATAGAAGGAAATGACCTTAAAATTATGGTCTGCCGACCTGCAAGTAAATTTCCAGCCTTCTTTTCATTTACCTAAAGACAACATAGAGCAAAAGCAACACAGAAACATTTAACCATATAAGAAACTAATAATAAAAGGATTTATACATGTCAAGCTGATTAATAAAATTGGCGAGAAAAGACGTCCAAAAAGAGAGAATTGTATATGTTTTGTCCTTGTGACTATACCAGACAGTAGTGGTGCAACCTACCATTGTGCTCAGGTTTTAGTTCACTTTACACATATAATATTCAGTGTGACAGGTAGAGTACCTACAAAGCATGGGAATGGCTGAATTGGTCCGCACATTGGGTCCAAATGTATCTCATGCATAGATTCAAGATTTAAAAAAAAATACTAAAATCAGAGAAAAGTCACCAAGATATTTTGCTACCGGTAGCAGAAGAATTAATCAAATTACAAGTTGATAAAACTCTATTCAGATGACTTGTCCTACACACACATAGACAAGCCTAAGAATATTAAGAATAACATATAAAAAACAATAAAAAGAAGAGATACACCAGATAGAAGCAATAAACAAGTATGTATTATAAGAAAATAGGAGGAACCAAGAGAAGTACAAAAAATTGTCGAAGTATTTGAAGGCTTTTCCTGTTCTTTTTTGACCTGGAAGTACTCAAAGCGTTCAAACAAGAACTTCAAAGCAGTCTAACCTTTAAACTAGGCAAACTGTATCTCACCCATACCCAAGATGCACCCAAGCCACACCAAAGTTATTTATTTTTTATTTTAATTAAATAGACATATATCAGTCACACCCAAGCCACCCTGCACCCAATTCACACCATTGCAGATACCGCACCCTAACTCATTTGTCAGTGCGTACTATTCTGAACCTAGAACCTTACTTTTAAAATTGATGATACAGATCCATAGAGGTCACTTTTCTTTACATCCTCTACAAGGACCTCCTCAACAACAAGATGACGTAGCACACGTGATGCTTCCCCCTTAGCTACATTTTTTCCAGCTCCATGCAATCTTAATGTATCATGTTTGTTCCTTTTGACCTGCATTTTCACAACCCTTGAGTTAACAAGGTGAAGATGACAAGATACATGAAATTGAAGTATAAATACCATTAATGAGTATTACAATTTGGCTCATGGACCCCTTGTAGACATCCAAGATGTGAGATGCTGAGAATTGCTGTCGGACGGATTTCACTAATTCAACCTGCAGATTAAGACAGTAGACATCCAAGATGTGAGATGCTGAGAATTGCTGTTGGACGGATTTCACTAATTCAACCTGCAGATTAAGACAGTAACTATAGCAAACGATCATAATGACCAGACCAGATAATATCCATATAAAACACACATTTCTAATGTCACAAGATAAAAACAAGAAATAGATTTGCATATGATCCTAACCAATTGCTTTGCTATCTCGCTGACATCCTTGTCTACAAGGGCTTGAGTATTAGAACAATTGTCGCATGTTTTTCTGCAGTTGGATGAATCAAACTTTTCACCAAAATGAACAAGCTGTAGAAAACGTCTGCAGTCGACATCATTCTCACAGTAACTGACCTGTATGAAAAAAGTGATTATTTTCCATATATAGATAAACTAGTACCAGCCTGCTACAATGTTACTAGAAGGACAATAGCAAGTACCATTCGTAAAAGGTTTTCGGTATTTGTTTCCAGCATCCTTCCTGAATTTGTGGTACCTGCACGAGGTTGTCCAGATGCAAAGGAGCTTTGCTCCACAGCCCCATTACTAAGCATGTGCTTGACCCGGATCTTCAACACAGAAATTTAAATGGACGTGAATTAAATAAGTAGTTGTGAATCCAAATAACTTACAGGTGACTTTGGACCCTAAATTAGATAGAGATCAACAACTAGATAATATGTTCAGCAATGGCTTACATAATCACCATAACTGTAATATAACACACAAGATGAATTCTGGCCATCCCTGCCTGCACGACCACACTCCTACAATACAGAGGATGTAGCATATTATCAAATCAACACATCATATCTTAGTTATAATCTCACATTACAAAAGCAAGAACTGACAGTCATTACAAAAGAAATACCTGGTGGTAGCCCTCGATTGATTTAGGAAGAGAATGATGAATGACAAACCGAACATCGGGTTTATTGATTCCTGAAACAATTGCACAATAACATTAGTTTTTTCATCTAACTACTAACCAGAAGAACCGAATCATACCCATTCCAAATGCCACAGTTGCACATATTATATTAATCTCATCTTTACTCCACTGCTTTTGAACTGAGGCACGTAGATCAGGGTCCATAGAACCATGGTAAAATGCTGCTTTGTGCCCATACTCCTGGAAAGAAGTAAAACTCCACATGAGCAACTAGATTGGGAGTTCTAAGTATTACTGCTTTCTATTCTATCATTCAAGCATAGGAAAAAGAATCCCCATTCAAATAATAAGAACATAAAGGTTTTGGCAAGGTGGTATGAGGATCGACTCCAAAACAAGATAGATGGTTAAGGTAGTTGAGCAATCTTTGGCCGGTAATAAGAAATATCCATACCATCTGGTAATAAGAACATTGCCAATAGCAGTTAGTCTTGATAACAGAATAGTTGGCAAGAATTTTTTCTATGATCCAGTGAATGAAAAACTAATGAAGATAGAATAGTTGATCATCCTTTCTCTTTGGTATAAGTTTTCTGTCATCACCCCTCAAGAAGTAGTCAGTAAAAAATATTGTTCTATTGGCAGGGCTGGATGGAGAATATGACTCAGACAGTTGCAAACCTAACCCAAGTGATCCAGAAAACTTGGTCAAGTTGCACTCCGCATAGCTAGGCATGTTCATCCGATTATCTTTTTTCCTAAGAATGCTAAAAGATGATACTAACACAATACATAAGCAAGAACCACATCCAAAGGAAATCAAGCATGTTATTGGCCCTCTCTAAGCACAAGCTATGCTTTGATGACTACAGGTTTATTGAGTCGTCTCAAGCATATGAATGCTTTCCCAGATGTTGAAACTATTGCAGTTGCCTCACAGTTGCTCTTTATATCACAATCACAAGCATAGAGCAGACTAAACCAAAGCAAGGAAAAAACTTAAGCTTAAGGCCTCTGAACCAATTATTTAATAGGCATGGTGCAAAATTAGCCCTTTCAAAGCTCACATGTTACAGATTGAAAACATAAATATATATAGAGGAAAAATCAAATGGGACCACACAAATGTTGAGAACCGTGAGAACTGATCCAACCATTCAATGAGTTTCATTTTAGGCTAGGATTCAAGGTAGCATTATCGTTCATGTGTGTTTGCATGTCTGTGTTTCATATATGATACGTATGGACATGTTTTATTTCACATGTAAGATAGTTCTGCCTGCTTCATATATGAAACATGTTTCACATGTATTGATTCATATATGTTTCATCCGACTATCTTTTTAGCCAAAACAAGTTGCTGACGAGAGAAGTCAATAAAGGAAGAAGATGATGGGGATTCCGGCATTTATTTTGATTAGATTGAACTCGTAATGTTGATATTGTTGAGGTTAGAGATTGGTGAAGGATTGGAAATGCAAAGAAAGTGATTGGACTCAAAAGTGTCAGAGGTATCAACAGTGGATTCTTCGTGGTGGTTGTAAAATTCACCATCACCATCGAGTCTTTTTGAAGAATGTAAGGAATATTAAGAATAAGGAAGGGAAGGAATAACGTTGATATTGTTGAGGAAGAATGGAATCTCAAAACTTCGCACAAATCTAAGAAACAAGTAAACTGATAAAAATTGATTGCAAAAAAATAGGAGATTTGAAAAAATAAAAGATACTGATATTTTTCCTTTTCAATCGTACCCCCATCTATAGTGTTACCTTTAAATAAATATCCTTATATTTCAATTTAACTACAAAACTGCCACTGAAAGCGGGCCATCTATATTTTAAAAAATGGAAGAGGGGTATTCTGTTATTCTCTTTTTTATTCTCCCTAGAACCCACCTCTCTCTATGTTTATATTTATACACCTTATTGGGATTTGGGATTAACAATGTAAAAACTCTATCCAAAGTTTGCAAGATATAACTTCCACTAACTTCCTAGATTTTGGAAAGAAACTTCCTAGATTTCTCGGTCAGTAGAAGATAAGAAATAAAATAGAACACAGAACCTGCAACTTCTCAGCAACTTTTTCACAGTCCATTCTCGAAAGACAATAGATGATACCACATTCATCAAAATGGTTGTCCTTGATGAATTTGTTGATATCCTCCATACATTTTTTAGTCTTGGGGATAACTGAAAACCTGAAATATTAGCATAATTAAGAGGTGAACACGATGTAGAACAGAATATCTAGACTTAACCCATACCTGAGGTTTGAGCGGTTAAAACTTTGCCGAAATATAATACAGTCAACCAGACCAAGGGCCTGCACAACATCTTCCTTAACACTTGTTGTGGCAGTGGCAGTTAAAGCCAGTACTGGTACTTTTGGAAACTTCTGCTTCAAAATACCAAGACCCTGTACATAGCACCTTATTATTTAAAGATCTAGAATATTTTCAAAGTTCAATGTAATGTGAATAATATAATGCAGTCCAAAGCCGCCACCTGATAATCTGGTCTGAAATCATGCCCCCACTGGCTTACACAATGTGCTTCATCAATGACAATTCTATCTAGCAATTCACGTGCATGTAAGTTTTCCAATTGTCGTAGCAAAGCATCACTTCTGCACTGACATATCAATAATCAGTGGTTAGCAACATAATAATATGATGACAGAGGTATCAGCTCAATGAACTCTAGACTACATCTTTGTTTTCACTTCTCTTTCTTTTATATTGGACTTGCTTACCGTTGTAAGATAATTCAAGTTTATCAAATAATTGTCTATAAGAATACTTTATTCCATATAATCGATTAAAAGTCGCATGTCAATAACAATTTGAAATACAAAAGCTCATGAATTTACCAATTCCATGTACATCAGTTGAAATAAATTAACATCAGCCAAGCTTTTTTCAATGTATCAGACCAGAATCAACTTGGGAACAATAGATGGCTTGGTTGATAAAGATACTTGAAAAAGTCCAAGGAAAGTTTAATTATTAGTGGCATGCATGAGGGCTCATTAATTATTTGCTTCTTGATACGATTTCTGGCCAAGCTAAATAAAACTAATGACCTTACCAGAATGCAACATACAATCTCCAAATTCTATTCATTTCTACTTCCATTCATATCCATTTCACGGCTCATCAACCTTCGAAGTCTCATTTCTATCTTAATGATTTTTCTTCATCTTCTGCCACCCTATTTAGAAACCCAAGATTATGCATGATACATTGGCATCTCTCGGTAATCATTCTGACAGATTTTTGGTCATTGAACCTAAGCATATATATATGCACTTTCTTCACTTCCATTTCTAATAAGCATTTTGGTGGCAAATCATCCAGGGGGTCTTCACAGAAACAGTCTCTCTTAATCCTAGTAGTTGGGGTAAGGCTGCGTACATCCTACCCCTCCCAGAACCTACTTTTGAATGGGATATATTGGGTGGGTTTGTTTGGTTTGGTTTGGTGGCAAATCATGTACTCCGCTAGTGCCACTAATGGGCCCAGGCTTCTAACTAAAGCTTATCTCTCCAACATTCCTACCGAAACAAAGTAAAAGTAATATCATCAGCATTTATCATGGAATCACTATTTCGTATGGGCTGCTGACCTATCCACTAAGAAAAATGTAAATTATTTATTGAAAATCAGATAGATTGAAGACAGTGGTATCCATCTTTTTTAAGTATATAATATTTATATACGGCAAATACGCACGTACACTCTCACCTTTGGCGAGGTTTGAACCATTGATCTCATAGGAGGCTGGGCTCTACCGCTAACCCGGATACCGCTGGGCCAATGACCCTTTAAGTGTGGCATACATCTTCCGACTAAGGTATAGAACAATATAAAATTATGTTTTGGGATGGAAGCAACAAACTGCAATTCACTAGTTCATTGATCTTTTCTAGTTGGCTTGGAGCAGGTCAGCAGAAGATCACAAAGAATATGCCAAATTGTCATAAAAGTGTTACTTGACAATTTGTTGTTCATATAATTCACATCTTCACGCCTTAAAATGATATTGAAAACTCTCTTTCGTTACTGATTTCTTATTGTGAATCTTTTATCAAAGGCCAGGAAACACCCAAAAACAAGATGAAACACCAACCAAATAGATGTATGAAGGGGTGTACAGAAAACTGTCAACCCGTGAAACCCGCCCAGCCCAACCCGCTAACAAACCAATTAAACCCAACCCGCCAATTAAGAGGGTTGAAATTGGGTTAGGCCTAGCTCAACCTGCCCAACCCACCGCTAATATATAACTTCTATAAAATTATATATACATGTATAAGAATAAAAATAATAATAGTCTAATTAGACAAATTTACAAGCCAAAGTATATGTAAATATATATATAATATACATTTAACTTACTATTTATAACTTYTATAGCCCAATACATATATATAAATATATATATAATACAGCTTAGAACATTATAACCCAAAAATGTATATTATTATTGTGGAAAAGACTATGTTTATCATAGTAAATGTATTGATACAAGTTCTTTATGGATTCGCTTAAATAATCAATGTAAGAAGTACTCGAATAGAGTGTGATAAAAAACAAAAAAATTTGTAGCTTCCATACTAGCAATGATATTGAGCCGTCATTTAAAAAGGAGAATTGTCGAAAAGTCGTGGCTAGGTTAGTGGTGAAGGATGAACCCTTTCGGTTTGAAACATCTATTATCCAAACTTTTGAAGTATTTGATTGAGTTGAAGTGTTTGATTCTAAAACTTACAGATTTAATTATATATAAGTAATAACTTTGTTTTGCATATTTTTAGTAGTATTTATCGTATTTCATTCCTCAACTTTATGTATACTACCAAACCACTCAAACCTGCCCAACCCACCACAACTGGCAAGGGTTGGGTTGGGTTGGTTTATACTTTTGAATGGGTTGGTTTGGGTTGAGATTTTTCAAACCGCCATAATTAGGTTGGGTTGTAAAAATGTCAACCGCCCAACCCAACCCGTGTACACCCCTTCATGTATCCTTCAACAATCCTTTCCTTAATGCAAAACAAAGATCATGATAGCTAACTAGGTAGTACAAAACAATGACTTCATGAGATAGTATTGAAGATAAATTTCAAGAAAATGGGAAGGACCAATAATTTCAAATTTTCACTTAAGCTATGATCCAGAACAAATTGTGTTAACTAGCATGAAGTGGTCTCACCAATCAATAACATACTCACTTTATTGACAGTATGTCCTGTCAGCATCTCAAAGCACCCAAGAAACTCTTAAAGTACTGTCTTTCACCAATGTGTCCTTTAATGGCTAGATATCTCAGGGACTGTTTACCAATTTTTTATTAAGTCCTGTATGGATAAATTTGTCCATCTGAATAAATGGGTGATGTTGTTTACCTTTTTTTTATCTAAACCAACAGTCTGAATAACATAAATGACCGATTTACCCCCCAATATTAATTATTTGAACATCAAAACAAAAAATCATAAAGAGGCCGAAGATGGGGTGCCTCATATGGGAAGGAGCCGGTGCTTTAAATAAGGGGCAGGGGTGTCATTTTTGTGGCTGAATGGGGACAACACACCATTTTTATCTGTGCAATTAAGCCATATTCTGTGCAATTAAGCCGTAAGTAAACAACCCAAATGAGCTGTACGAATAAGCCGGATAAACCAATAAGCCTAATTAAGCCGCAAGTAAACAGCCCCTCAGTGGTCTATGCATCCATTCGATTTTTCATATGAGCTCAGATGTGATGCCTCAAAGGCTCAATCTCTTGCATCCTATAGTTGTTTAATAGTGCAATAACATAAAAGTGCTGGACCCATCACATGCTTGCATACTGCATTCCTTCATAATTACATGAAAAAAGTTTAAAGAAAGATAACAAACACTCACCTTGCCACTTTCTCAGGGGTGACGTATAATAGCTTGTAATTACAGTACTCTGAACAAAGCTCTCTTAGAATCTCTTGTTGTTCAGTCCACTCCATATTAGCACTTAAGTAAGCAGCAGGGATGTTTGCCTATGGTGTAACCAAAAAGATAACACAGTTCCCTTGAATTTAAGAAACCCAATACCTTTTGAAAGGAGAAAAAGGGGGAAAACAGATGAATGAGAAATGTCTGCAGGCAAGAAAAAAAATGCATACCTGCAAGAGATGCATTATTTGATCTTGAATCAATGAAACAAGGGGTGAGATTACCAATGTTATACCAGGACAAATAAGAGCAGGGAGCTGCAATAAAAGAAGAGCGGAAGACATTCAAACATAAGAAAAAGAATACTTTCATAAACAAGATTCAATAATTGTAGGAAATCAATCAGCAAAAACATACTAAATAATTTTTATGATTTTTTTACTTCAGCACCAGAACAGGACCTGGCCACATGTCAAAGAAGAAGCAAAGTTTAAGCAATTTGAAGATGTAAGAAGCCAGTGGGTTTTGTTTACCAATTTAGCTTCAGAAGTTTCAATTGCACAGTTACTGGAAAGTAGGCATTAAGTTAATAAGAGGAATAACAAAGCTTCTTTTCTCAAACCCTTATACAGTGATGCCTCAAGTACTAGTACACAGCATGTAACAGTTAATGGAGCACGAGCATACCAACTCTTATTAGGGGTGTACTCAGAACCTTATATTGATAGAAGATGGAGTGAAGTACCTGATAGGTCAGGCTTTTTCCACCTCCAGTTGGCATTAAAACAAAAACATCATTCCCACTCATTGTTGCATTGATAATCTCTCGTTGGTTGGGTCGGAAGAAGTGATTACCAAACACCTTCTTGTTATTAGCCTGAGAGCAGAACCAAGGAACGATTGTCATCCCACTATTTAGCTATACATAAAATGCAAATGGCAACTATGCTACATACCTCCAGCTTCTTGGTCCATGGGAAATCTCGCTTACTCCAGTTCTTGTCATCTGAACCTTCAATGTAATTGACTTCGACGTACTTTGGGACGTATGCTTCTCTCTCCATAGGAGCTGAAGAAACACTAACGTTACCTACTGAGGAATATGATACTGATGATGAGTTCCATCTGTTAGGCCCATCTGTCTCGTTATGCATGTAAAATTGATCAAGTCTTGTGGGATCAACCCTGGAAGCAAATGTTGGAGGAGTTTCATACTGAAAAGCTCTGGAGGCAGTATATGCACCAAAGTTTGATGTGGATCTTTTCTCATCAACTGGTCTAGATTGAAGGTGTTTCTCAAGCTGTTGAATTTGCTTATTCAACATCAGCCTGTAATTAAAGCAATCAAACAAGTATCAGGCAACAGATTTGATAAAGTGAAAATGGAAGAAGAAAATTGAATATATTAGTTCATTCGGCAGCTGGGGTGATTACCAAATCCCAGAAATCTGAGGCATTATGTTCTTATTTACTGTTTCTTCTATAAAAAATTTATCATAGCATAGAGCCGCCTATTGATTCAGTGTATGGTGCTTTTAAAAACTCCAGACTTCCCATTGATCTGGTATAAGAGACTGAAATAAGACAATTTTTCTTTTCAAAGACAGAGCAGGAAGGATACCTATCTTGGCGGAGCTTTTGTATTTGATCTGAGTTCAGGTCAACATTGTCAAGCAGATCATTTGATATGGAAATGAGCATGTCCTTCATTATTTGCAAATGGTTTGAAGCTTCAGGACAAAGTCCTAGCTGAAGCAATTTCAAAAGTTAGGCATAGAATCTGCCATGGAACTAACATGACAATAAAAAACTTAATGACTTGGTTACTTGCCTTACAACCATGACTGCAGTCCACACAAAGTTCTGGAGGCAAACTTAAGTCATCATGTCTTGCAGCGCTATTACATACAGCTGGAGTGATGGGTTGAAACTTCAAGGTTGACGATTTTGGTGTACAAGCTGATTGGTAGTGTTGCGTAACTATTTGATCCACATCAAGATTCTGAAAGTTGAAGTTGATTGGTGATGAAAGCAAGCTACTATTAAATACGTCAAATGAAACCAGATAATCAAGGTTTATTTTCTATTAGAATACTGAAGCACTCGATTAGAATATTTAAGGGAGATCTGGATGGACAAGTTAGACTTAAAACCCATCAAGTTACAAATCACTTGAACTTATATCTTGTGAAGAACTTGTTGCACTCAAGTACAGGAGTGTCGGGTAGCATGAATTACCTGAAGAATATCATCATCATCGTCATCAATGCCACCAACACTAGTCTCCTGAAACCCATTGAAGTGGCTTGCATTTGTGGCATAGTTGTGTATGCCCTGGCCTAAATTTGTGGTATTGCTGTATGAGCAGTTAGTATTTCTTCTACCAGCATCTATGGAGTTCGATGTGTAACCCCCACCACGCATCATTCCAAACCTTCCAGCTTCAGCCACAGAAGTGGCAACTGTTGCGAACCGGTTGGTCATGTCCCTGGACTCACTATGCTGAATATTGATCTCATTGGAACATTCTGCTCCAGTTTGTCTCAAAATCGTGTTATTCACATTGGAGGAACATTGCTGAGTAGCTCTTCTAACATCTTGAAAAGAGGCAGTACCACCATCATTAGCCAGTGGCCGGCTTTTACCAGGTTTGATATAATTTCTAGAAGACAACTTAAGGTTGGAAAGAGCTTGCCAAGCCTGTCAAAAGCTTATTTGTTAGAAAGCTCCATCTCGTAAGTTCATCTTTAGAAGCAATAGGAACAGCTTTCACCTTGGAATGGTAAAAAAAGGTAAATGAAGGCAAGCCAAAAAGAAGATTACATGTTACATAAAAATGTGCTGCATAGTTCTTCCCTAATATAGCCATCAAATTTTCTTCACACTAACAAGGACTAAGCAGAAAGAACAGGAAAGCAACACTAAGGTTTTCTTTTTAAATTGAGTTGACTAACCTATTTGGTGGACCAAATAATCAAAAAAAACATGAAGGCATAAAATAAGAAGCAATAAGACAAGTCAATTTCGTAAACATGCATTACCTTGTCAACATGTGGACTGGGTGGGTTTGTAACATTTTGAAACTGGCATGACAACGATCTGCAACAAAGGTAAAAAACAGTGCCCAAACTTAATATCACCACAAAAAGCAAATTATATATTAGCTTCTGACAAAACTTCTCTAGCCAGGACACATTCTACGATAGCACAATGAAGTACTTGAATAAACACACTCCATCCTGAAATAAATTATATGCTCAACTTTCCAAATAGATGAAGATCATGTTCACCAAATTAAAGTTTCTCAATGGTCTTGTTGCTGTGATCTAGGGTCTTGGATTCTGCTATATATACGCGACTCCTTTCATGGAATCAAGAATTAAAGAAGAGAGAAAAAAGTGCAGAGGTCACAAGAGTAGATGGTCCAAAACAGTGGAGAGAGCATTCGGAAACATATCATTATTTTGGAACCCGGAAAGAAACGTGTGTCAAATATATTCTGAGGGGGAGCCATACAAAGGCATGTTCTGAGTACTCGTCTTTCTAGTCAACAAATACAGTCACGCCAGGAACTAAAAAGTTGTAGCAACATTTTAATGTGAATTTTTGCACATGAAGCATCCAGTAGCATGGGATAACTCACACAAAGACTATCATGTACCTCTCAAATATCCTCAGAGGGTGAAGAGTTTCCGGACTAAATTAACAACAAAGTACTTGAATAAAATAAAACTAAATGCTCAGCATACACAGCTAATGGTAAAAATTCATATATTATGCCTTTAAATAGCTCAGAGAACAAAAAAATATGTGAAACACATAAATTCACGAGGATAATGTATGAATTAGCAAAATGTAGTAAAGTAAATGTTGTGTAAGAGAAGGCCAAACTCCAAAGTATCATTTGATAGTTGCAACTTGCAACCAACTGAAGCCAAAAGAGATGAGCATAAAGACAAGTCTACATAATAGTGCTCAAAGATAAAATTCAGCAATACAACATGAAGTATTGTTATAAGTAGAGTGCCTACTTAGAGCATCTCCAACAGATTCTCTAAAATGAAAAGAGATGATGAAATTCTCCAAATTCGGAGAACTCTCCAAAAATGATTACTTAAGAAAGAGAAATATTTTTTATTCTTCCTACCAATGAGAAATCTTGAAATCAAATATTTAGGAGAGAAATAATATTTTATTAATCATATGAAATATTTTAATGATATAATTAATATGGTAATCTCCAAAATGGAGAAGCTGTTGGAGATGAAAGTAATTTTTCTTTAGAAATTTTGACTTTTGATTCTCCATTTAAAGAATCTGTAGAAGATGTTCTTAGATAGCCCAGAGATCCCCAAGAAGGTAATGTATACGATAGTCGATAAAATTAATTTCAGTAAATGTTGGGAAACATACCTTACTGCTGCTGACATCGCTGCTTCAACAGAAGGTTTCTGTGTTGACAAGGAGAAAAGGAAATTGGATTTCAATAATTTATCTTGGTTTGAAAAATTATCATGTGCTTTGGCATGCTGAGACCAATTGTCCCTCGTAAACTTGTCCACATGTTTAGAAGCTCCACCAAAGTTGTTTCTACTAAAATCCAACCACCACGAGAAAACGATTAAAACAGAAGGAAAAAAAGATGGTCATCAAACAAAATTACAGAGAGAAAAAAAATGGAGTTCTTACCTCATGTGGTTTGCCTTTGTCATTCACTAGCATGATCATCTAGTACCAAGTAAGTTCCCCTGTCCTGTAAATCAAAGCCAGAAACATGATATTCAACCCTTGATGCCAATTTGCAGTGATATCTATAACCAGACAGCAGAGATGACAAGTATGAATATAAGCAGAAACAATTCACTGACAAACAGCCCAGCAAAGATGTGTGGTTGTGCAAAAATGGGCATTAAAGCATCCATGCAAGATACGTGATTGGGCTACTACTATAGGATACACTAACAAGTGGCATTGAGTCTTTTCTTTTGCTTCAACTTTTGATGAGCTCAGGAAAGACAACCAAGATCATTGATTCATGTCCATGGTATGTTAATTGATAAGATGTTATGAGAAACACCTTAGAATCTAATAAATTTAGATTGAGCCAAACTAAAATACAGTATCTGAAATGCAACATTAACAGTGTACAGCCAATGAGCAAAATGAAAGATAAAATAAGCATATACAGATAAGTAGTTAGAAATAATATGTTTCAGTATCGAGGCACACTTTTAGACAATATAGAGGGATCGAAGAGGATGTTAACTACTGAATAACGGTATGATGGATGGAATAGAGATAAGCTTACGAAGTGTTTTATAATCGAGAAGTTCCATTGAAGCTAAAATGTGCATTCCTTGGGATGACCCTAATTATGACTCAAAGAATAATGTCGGGAAATCAAAAGACAACATGCACACATGATGAAATGTAGCAGAATGTGAATGTTAAGGGATGTTGAGCTAATGAGTGGGGTATACCAAATAAGCTAGACTCAAATAAGGGTGCATATAAGGATGTGATTCATCTCTCTTTATGTTTGCTTTTAGGTTGAATTGCTATTCTTTATTGGTAGCCTAGGCCAACTAGTTTGAATAGAGTGCTTGTTATAGTGCAATAGTGTTGATACGGGTTTCTCACAAATATTTTCCTAGGATGAAAAGTCTATATAATTTGAGGCTTTGAGCATAGCAAAAACAACAAATCAGAATTCTTCTTTAAGACTTTATGAAATATTGATATCTAAAAGACAAGAGAGAAAAGCCTTCTCGGAATTGGAGTCAGCTGAAGTGATTTGGAATAGTGAACCAATCAAAGTATTTGTAGCGATTGGTGTGCCTTTCCTCAAAATTTATCTAGAGCTTTAATGGGTATACGTGTTGACGTATTTAAAATGATCATTATAAATAAGGCTAGCCACTAGCCAGTAGATAGAACTGATTCCAAGTTCAGGCTGAATTTTGCACCAAAATGCACAGGCAGGAGAACAAACAACCAGGATGTTACTTCAAGAAATCAGCAACTTGAAAACACTACTATAGGTACCCTGTGCTGGTGTTGGCCACTCTGACATATGGGTAGACTCTGGAAAATTGGCTGATGTTCAAAGCAGATAAGTCCCTATATTGGGAGGCCTATATGCCCTTAAGCTAGACATAGTCAAATACAGCTTGTTGCTGTACATTATGTTCTTGGAGTTCACGTTTTTATCGACTTATTGTTTATACTGTCTGAAGGAAAGAAAAACCCCTGAAAGATTTTCCAAACAACACTACATAACATTGTTCAACTAAATTCACGTTAAATATCTCCAATTTGAGCAATGTCAGTTCCATTAATCCTCAACAATTCCTTAGTGATTTGCACTACTTAAAGTACCATTCCAACGCCTAAATCAACAATATTACGATAAAAACAATAGATAAACAATAAGCATTTCCCGGAAGTATAGCCAGTAATAAATTCTGAAACTTTATACAAACACATCGACAAATGAAACGAAAGAATGAACAACTAAGACCTTATATTACATACATTTTAGTGTAGATATTCGAAATAAAAGCTGCCATAGGACCTAGCATGGATACATACAAATGAAAAATAATATAGGACCAGAGAGAAGAAGCTAACGCTGTAAGATAGATATGATGGATCAAAGCTTCAGTAAGAAAACCAGTCTGGCAGCGATGGCGGTGGTGATGCGGTTGTGTATGTTTGTGTGTGTGAGCTAAATTTCTTTTGAAATCGAAGCGCGCCTTCGAATTGAAAGGGCGGGATATTTGTGGGTCCGGGTTAGGGCGCCAAAAATCACTCGGTTTCAACCCTACCCGGGGCCGGGACTCTCCAACTTCGTTTTTCAGTGTAAATATTTGAAAAGGTAACAACTTAAAATTCATATTTTAATTATTAACCAGAAGGGTAGTTGTGCAATATAATGAAACACATTTCAGTTTTAATGTTTTATTTTATTATTTGTCTCTGTCGATGTTATAATACGATTTTATATGTTTTTAAGAAAACATTAATGATTTTATTTTTGAATAAAATATAAATTTGAAAAGAAAAAATATCAATGTTAATATCAAATCAACTATTTAAAAGTTCTTATTTTTATGTAATTTCTTTAATTTATTTTTTTATTATAATTTAATTTAAGTTTAATAACGAAATAATTTATTTTTGGTTTAATAGTATAAACATTTTATAAATATAATAATTAAATATTCTGTTAGAACTTAATGATTATCCTAATTATATTTTAGATTTTTTATATTGAAAATTGGATGTTTATTCTGTATTTGATTATGTTTATCTGCAATTAGTTACACGGATTCATATATTGAGCTTTTAATAAGTTGTACTTACGCACAATCTACTTGCAATCTTTAATTTTAAGTAATATGTATTAAAAACAGTATTTTACGCATAAAAAGTGGCTTTTAAGAGTTTTTGTCAAATGTTATATATTATAGTATAGATATATATATATATATATATTATTTAAAGATGTATATGTAAATCGAGGTTATTCATATGAGTTCACAAATGTATCTTCAAATAAATTTTTCAGTAATTCATATATAAGTTTTTCCTTAACCTTGGCTTTTAAGAGTTTTTGTCAAATGTTATATATTCTAGTATAGATATATATATATATATATATATATATTATTTAAAGATGTATATGTAAATCGAGGTTATTCATATGAGTTCAAAAATGTATCTTCAAATAAATTTTTCAGTAATTCATATATAAGTTTTTCCTTAACCTTGTTTTCTTACCATTTCAAGATATTTAGGGGTCATTTACCTAAATGCTTATCCGGTAAGTGCTTAACGTTATGAGTCAACACTATAGTTTATTTTATTGGGTAAGATTGTAGTACATTAAAACGTATAATTTACCTGGTAAACGTTTACCCGGGTAAGACTCTTCATTCTTATCATCGCTCTTACCGGGTAAGATTTTTGGCTCTTGCCATGTTCATCCGATCAGGAAAATTATCCGATAAGTACTTATCGGGTAAGCGTTTAATAAACGACCCCTTAGTCTTTTATTTCCATGGTTGAATGCATTACCAAATACACCTATTTGCTTCATATGTATATATTGGTATACAGTTGGAAAATATTACATACACTTGTAATTCTGTGTTTTTTCTTATTAAAATTAACTAGTGTTTGACACCATGCGTTGCATGGTGACAATAATTTTTTTTTAAATTACTGAAGTTAGCTAAATGTATCGATGATTATATTTATATATCAAATTAATAAGAATCAATATTACCTTTGATATATGAATCCACCTTATCATTATTGGTTGTTCTTTTAATATATATATAGAGAGAGAGAAACGATCAAATGAAAATCACTCCAATTTGTAAAAACCGTAAAAACTACTCTCATTCATCGATTTCATTGTTTAATCTTTTGAAATTTTTTCATGAAATTGTTTCATATAATACTTTTTTTATGAAGTTGTTTCATATATGGTTATGAAATTGTTT